ATAATCACTAAACATTAATTTGAAAGGGGTGTCCACCCTCTACCCTAGCATGAATCCATAGACGGAGTTCAGCCATAATTAGCGCTACCGTGGCCGTGGCCGGGACGCCTTGTGTTCGAAGACACGGCTGTTGCGCTTGAGCCAGATGAAACGTATAGTGGCCAAGGCGGTGGTGTTCAGATGTCTTCTTTGGCCTGCCGGTGCCGCCTCCACCATCTGTGGCCACCATTCTACTAGGGGTTTCGCGCCATCCGGAGTGAACCTGTGCAGCCTCAGAGGAAGCAACATGTTGTACCAGACCTCACGAGCGTATGCACATCCCAGGAGCATGTGAGTGGTATCCTCGTCTTGCTAGCAACACAACTGACATAACCGTGTGTGCAACATGTTTCTTCGTGCCAGCCGATCCGCCGTCCACAGCCTAGCTCGCCCCGCGAGCCATGCGAAGATCTTCACCTCTAGGGGAGCCCATGATCACCAGATGTGGTCGGCACAGGGTGCGAGCTCCCTACCCAGAAAAAAACCAGATAGTTACTCTACCATGACTTGGAGTAGACGTATACAACAGCAGCTTCTGATTATCATAGCCTCGGTGTTTGCTAACAGCAACATCTCCCTTGGGCTCCTCTTAGCACCGCCCGATCTGCGACACGGTCGGGGGGATGACAACGTCGATGCACCCGACAGCCTGGGCGAAGCGGGCGCCGACGCCGGTCTGGACTTTGAAAACTCCATCCATGAAATACGGGAGTCGTCTGTCACCGGATTCTTGGGAGGTGGCAAGGCGAGACACGTGGTGAGGGGGGGTCAGGAGGCGCAGAGGGAGGCGACCAACGGCGAGAGCCATGGCTTTCAAGTGGGAGGATGGCGACAGCATACGAGCGAGCAGGAGACCTAGCCTCGCTCGAGAGGAAAGGGGTGGGGCAATATGTTTTTCTTTGAGTAGGGGCTGATTTGGTGGGGGAAAAATCATAGACGGGGATGTTTCCTTTTCTCGTACGCGAATAGAGACGTGCGATGGAACGAAGGAGCGAGGCGAACGAAACGAAACAAACTACGACCAAACCGACCATCACCACCGCGGACTTCTCTTTTAAGAGTAGAGATTTGGTAAATACGACTAATTGTTTTGGTAAGGGTGGGAAGGCCACAACGTATCATTATGAAAGAGTTGAATGATGAATCATCATTCACCAATTTTTCTTTAATAGTACAAGATTTGGTTGTTAGGAAAGGTAAAGATTCGATGCATTAGAAAAGATAAGATTTTAGCATTAACTGTCATGAAACTGGATTTCATTGTTTGGTAACGTGCTATCGGTTCCTATCCATTTGAAAAGTGGCTAGTTAGGAAAGGTTTTATTAGACGATAAAAAACCGATGTGAAGGGGTGGTGGTGGGAGGTGAGACGGAAAAAGAAAACGAACAACAAAAATCATGGACGCAATCCTCCTGACTGCTCCATTAAAAATAGAGATATAGGATGTGTTTTCAAAAAAAATCGTGAACCAACCCATGATTGAATAGTAAGGAGGATAGTGTATACTCAACCTATCAGAATCAACTCATAGACTTCACATCAATTAGTGCTCATATTTTTCTGAATTTATTTATTTCAGGCCTTCCATCGATGTGCGGCCAGTTAGAGGAGACGTTCCTATCGACTACCGACTATGTAAGTGTCTGTGTCGACTTCGTCAATCTTAAGATGATGTGCCGGCTTACTCTTTCAAATATTATGCTTATAGTGATAGAGTATGTGTGCATACGTGTATTCATATAGGCGAGTGTATAAACATCTACATATGTACGATCTTAAAAAGAAGACCCAAAGACGCGGAAAATGCGCGCATACATTCGGAAAAGCAGAGCTTCGGTGCCTCTGCATGGCAGCCGTCCGCGCAGCGGCGAAAAGCAGCATTCCGATTCCCATCGGCGTGCGTGCGTGCGTGCGTGCATGCATTCAGCGGTGCTACTAGTAGTACTCCAGCGAGTTCGCACCCACCCTATTCCAGCACGTGAGGCTGCCCCTGCTCGCGACGCCAATCAGTGTCACGGGCACCGTAGTAGTAGGAGTAGACCGGAAATCCCGGCGACTTGTCGCAGACCGGGAGAGAAGAGAACGTTCTTTGCCCCCTGCGAAACCGATGCTCTTGCCCGTGGCCTTCGCCGTGCGCGGCAAGCAGAGCAGCCGGCGCGTCCCACTCCCAGCACGCGAGCAGCCACGGCACGTTCGGGGTCGAGATCGCCGCCGGACACGGCACGCTCGATGCGGCCAACGCGGAGGCGTTGCGACTGATGCCCTTCCCAGTGTTTCATCGTGAATAGGTGCTAAGCATGTCACATAAACGAAAAAATGACATGACATAATATTTAAAAAGAGGAGAAAGCACTTTGATGACCTCAGAAAAAACCAATATCAAACACGAGAATCTAGATAAACAACTTAAAATGACACAATTTAACTAATACACGAAAGACTTTAGATGTTAACTTGTTATAAATAAAGCACCTATGCATTCGGGAGTTAAGTTGCTAAAATATTTAATGCACTTAGCATCTCATCTGCTCCATCGGTTTTAGTTTATAAGGCTGGTCATAGTGGGGAGTAACTTATACTAGTGTCATGCATATGATACTAGTCTAAGTTACTACCTTTATAGTGCAGAGTAACATAGTATTAGTGTCATAGATGACCTCATTTATTAGCTTGTAGACTCATCCTTTCTCGGGAAGCGCTATGTTACAGTAACATATTATGTTACTCTCAACACCTCTCTCCTCGTTAACTACATGCCACATAAGCAAAAAAAATTGGAGTACGCTATGTTACTACCTAAGTTACTCCCACTATGACTAGCCTAAGTCTTGCGCGTATATCTAGGTTGCCAATTTTATCACCCTAATGTAAACTATATAACATAAAAATTATATTGTTTGAAAATAAAACATCTGAAGCTTAAATTGATATATTTTTTGTAATCTATGACTTGTATTAGGTTTGTCAAATTGACATCACTTGACACATGTGGTAAGCAATCCAATTAATTCCAAAAGGTTTGTCAAATTGACGACCTAGGGGTACGCGCACGCCCTGTAAACTGAGAGAGAGGGAATAAGCACCATTACATTGGAAGATGTCTGATGCGGCGACGGGCGAAGTAGCATGCCATGCGGGGCGCCGCCGCGCCGCACCCAGCCGGTGGAGGGTCCGCGACGGTGCTAAAATTTAGGGGGTGTTTGTTTCCAGGGACTTTTTTGTGTAGGGACTAAAAATGTCCCTCTTAGAGACTTTTTTACCAAACGGGAGGGACTTTTTAGGGACTAAACTAGGCATTTGGGACTAAATGAAAAAGACTCTCAAGGAGAGTCTTTTGGGAATTTTTGGGACTTTTTCAATAATGCCCCTTCATGCATCCATTGGCCCGCCACCCCATGGTGTTGTTTGATTATTATTTTTTATATACTAGAGGCAACATGATCATTTAATAATCTCTAGGAAGAGACTAGAGACTTTTTAGTCTCTGAAAACAAATAAGGAGAAATTTTTTAAGAACTTTTTAGTTGGGACTAGAAAAAGTTCTATGACTAAAAAACCAAACACCACCTTACTACTATGACTCTTCGGAGGAAACGGACGGCCTTGTCATGCATGCTACTAGTCATTTATTTACTATCCCATAATTACTACGGGAGCGAGTGGCGGTGACGATTCGCTTGGATCTCCATAGATCTATCGGCATTAATTGGAAGAAGAATGCAAGATTCTTCTTGAGCATGTCTAGCGCTACTACCGTGCTACTAGTACCATCCATTCGCAGTCCTAGTTGCTGGTGCCGAATGCCGATCAGTTGCCATCGGCCGGCTCGCCGATCTCGGACCAACCAATCAATCAATCTTCTCCCCCCGCCGAACCCTCAAGAGACACCCATCTTTTCAGCGAGGCATCTCCAATCGTCGGCATCGCTTTGCGACAAAGCGGAAAAGGAAGAAAAGCCTAGATTTTTAGTAGCCACGAAAGATGCGAGGCGAGCCCCGCCATTAGCGCGGGGCGCCGGCGCCGGCAGCCGCGATCTGGGGGAGGCCGTCCCTGGTCCGCGCCCCCGAAAGCTAAAGGTCGAAGATGATACTCCTTCCGTTCCTAAATACTTGTCTTTCTAGAGATTTTAATAAGTGACTACATACGGCGCAAAATGAGTGAATCTACACTTTAAAACATATCTACATACATCCGTATGTTGAGTCCATTTAAAATGCCTAGAAAGAAAGTATTTGGAAACGAAGGGAGTAGTTGATAGGGGTCGGCAGAGTGCCGTGAGAATGTGCGTGAGTTCACGCACGCACATGCCTTTCTTTGTCCTCCGGCCCCACCCCACCCAACCACACTCACGGCCGCCGGCCGGCCAAAAGCTTGGTCCGCCCGTGTCTGCGTGCACATCATATCCATGGATTTTAGTATGCCGGCCTCACTTTGTCTGAACGAGTGAGTTTTTGAGTTGATTATCTCTTTGATGAAGCAGCTAGGGAGAGGCGCACTAGTTGTGGAGGTCGTAGGTGGACGGGCCCCCACCACACGTGACACGTCTCTGCACTCCACTCGGTGTGATACCCACCATGTTTTCCTCGGCGGATATGTATCCGATGCCTTTCTTCATTCTCCTCCCCTATCTATCTGCTTCCTCGATCTCTTCGTCCTCTTCCGAACCCCCTTCATATACTCACCTTGAATCCTTCGTATGCTACTAGTATAGTATAGCGCCGTATCCTGGCATTGCCAGCTCCCGCTTCTTTCGAGTAGTCCGTCCGTCCGTCCGTTCGTGTGCTTGTGGCGAACTTGTTCTTGGCAGCTGGTTCAATCTATTCGACTGTTAACAGCGTTGCTTTTACCTTGATGATGTGCTCTGTTCTTGGAGCCAGCCAGCACAAGGAAATCATAGGAGCGTAGCTGTCTTTTCGCCGACGGCCGACGGATCCTGGTCGAGCTCGGGAGCGCGGCAGCCATGGAGCCCGGAAAGGTCAGCCATAGATTCCCAAATTTTCAAAATTAAGCAAGGTAGGTAGGAGGGGCAATTATCAATGACAGAACCTGGTGCCAATCAATCGGTTGGATGCAGCGGGAGACATGGCGGACGACGATGCTGCTGGCGTACCAGAGCCTGGGGGTGGTGTACGGGGACCTGAGCATCTCCCCGCTCTACGTCTACAAGAGCACCTTCGCCGACGACATCACCCACACCGACTCCAACGACGAGATCCTCGGCGTCCTCTCCTTCGTCTTCTGGACGCTCACCCTCATCCCGCTCCTCAAGTACGTCTCCATCGTGCTCCGAGCCGACGACAACGGCGAGGGCGGCACCTTCGCGCTCTACTCCCTCATCTGCAGGCACGCCAACGTCAGCCTGCTCCCCAACCGCCAGCTCGCCGACGAGGAGCTCTCCACCTACAGCCTCGAGCGCCCGCCGGAGGAGGTCGCCCACGGCTCCCGCGTCAGGCGATGGCTCGAGGCGCACCGCAGCCTCAAGACCGCCCTGCTCGTCATGGTCATGATCGGGACCTGCATGGTCATCGGCGACGGCGTCCTCACCCCCGTCATCTCCGGTATGTATCTTCAGACTTTTTCGGTCCAAGTTCTTTCTTTTTTGGCCTTTTGTTCTTCAGTTGGCTCTTCAGTTCAGGGAGTGAGGAGCAGTTACTTATTAATACTGCTGTTGATTCTTGTCTGTTGCAAATGCAGTGTTCTCGGCTGTTTCTGGGCTTGAGCTCTCCTTGTCCAAGCATCAGCATGAATGTGAGCCTCCCTCAACTCTGAACTGCAGATTTGTTTTTTTGCATTTAAAGATTTTGTTGGATTTGTCTGAAGTCAATGAACAGAGTACTGCACAATAGGTCATAATAAGTAAACACTAGTGACTTTACTGATGAACTGATACAGTACTTCACAATGATGCCTATGGACTTGCGAAATCCTTTTTTCTGGAATTAGCAAAATTGGAGCAAACTGTGAGGATTACCAAAAAAAACTAATTTTGGAGCAAACTGATAAGTTGTCACTCGTTCCTACTTCACTTACCTGGGCCCAAATACTCCCAGTTATCAGCTGTCTAGCAGAACTGTATCATGACTTGTATTTTTGTCACAAATTGCACTGAAAGAAAGTATGAGAGAACTGTTAAATGCGATAAAGTCTCATAAATATTTCAGTCACAGCCAAAATCACTGAATTTCAGTGATTTTGGTTTTCATTCCGGCCAAAGGACCATAATTATAACTTGAATTCGATTGAAATCCAACCAAATATTTTGAAATTTCAAGAAGATCATTTGGTGGCTGAAATATTCTGACCAAAACGCAATTATTTCAGTACCGACTGAAGTGACCAGAAAGTGAAAACTATTAGACTAGTTCTCTGTCGCTTGTTCTGCCTGCTCATTTGTTCTTCTTGTTTTTGCTCTCATGCAGATGCCGTCACTCCGATTACTTGTGCCATAATAGTGTTCCTGTTTGCGCTCCAGCATTACGGCACCCACCGCGTCGGGTTTCTCTTCGCTCCCATAATTCTAGCCTGGCTGATCTGCATGAGTGCGCTTGGCGTGTACAATATCATCTACTGGAACCCTCAGGTTTACATGGCACTCAATCCCGTATACATGTTCAAATTCTTGAAGAAGACCAAGAAGTCTGGTTGGATGTCCCTGGGAGGGATTCTGCTCTGCATGACAGGTAAAGTTCAGTATGAAATGAAACATTGGTTAACACAGTTTTTATTTTTTGCCAAAATTACACAGGGGAATTGTCCAAATGTAAACAGTCTTGACATGTTTCCTTCTTTCCAGGATCTGAAGCAATGTTTGCAGATCTTGGCCACTTCTCCTACAGTGCAATCCAGGTACTATAACAGGTTAATTTCAGCAACTAGTTCAGTTCCTACGCTATTTTTGTTCAACTCATCATGCTGTTTGGGCAAATCTTGACTCTGCTCCTTGCTTTTGCAGCTTGCTTTCACTTCTTTGGTGTACCCTGCACTGATCCTAGGATACATGGGTCAAGCTGCCTATTTAACCAAACACCATGACTTCGACTCAAGCTACCAAATTGGATACTACATCTCAGTTCCAGGTACCTACTGCTTACTTTTTTGAAACAGAGGCAAAAACTTTGCCTCATCATTAATTAAAAGATGAGAATTCCCTGATTGATTAATTAGAAACCGGGCGAAAACCGACCTACTGCTTACTTGGATTAGTAGATTACCAGTACTAATGCTAGCTGATGATTCTTACAGTGGCACAGTATCTGTGAAAGACTTGCACTGTTCTGCATTTACCATTTTATTCAGTAAACAGACACTAATTGAACACCAAAATTTATTTATGCAGAGGCTGTGAGATGGCCAGTGCTGGTGCTGGCGATCATGGCGTCGGTGGTCGGAAGCCAAGCGATCATCAGCGGCACCTTCTCCATCATCAACCAGAGTCAGGCCCTGAGCTGCTTCCCGCGGGTGAAGGTCGTGCACACATCGGCGAAGGTCCATGGCCAGATCTACATCCCGGAGATCAACTGGATGCTCATGGTGCTCTGCATCGCGGTCACCGTCGGGTTCCGCGACACCAAGCACATGGGGAACGCGTCGGGGCTGGCGGTGATCACGGTGATGCTGGTCACCACGTGCCTCACGTCGCTGGTCATGATGCTGTGCTGGCACCGGCCGCCGGTGCTGGCGCTGGCCTTCTTCGTCTTCTTCGGATCCATCGAGGCGCTCTACTTCTCGGCATCACTCACCAAGTTCCTTGACGGCGCGTGGGTGCCGCTCCTCCTCGCGCTCATCCTCGTCGCCGTCATGTTCGTGTGGCACCACACCACCGTCAAGAAGTACGAGTTCGACCTCCACAACAAGGTCACCATGGAGTGGCTCCTCGCGCTCTGCGACAGGCTCGGCATGGTCCGCGTCCCCGGCATCGGCCTCGTCTACACCGACCTCACCTCCGGCGTGCCCGCCAACTTCTCCCGCTTCGTCACCAACCTCCCGGCCTTCCACCGCGTGCTCGTCTTCGTCTGCGTCAAGTCCGTGCCCGTGCCGCGCGTGCTCCCCGCCGAGCGCTACCTCGTCGGCCGCGTCGGCCCGCCGGGCCACCGCTCGTACCGCTGCATCGTGCGCTACGGGTACCGGGACGTGCACCAGGACGTGGACTCGTTCGAGACGGAGCTCGTCGAGAGCCTCGCGTCCTTCATCCGGCTCGACGCGCTCTTCCGGTGCAGCGACGCCCGCAGCGACGCCGACTACGAGCGCGAGAACGCCTTCACCGTCATCGGCAGCAACCCGCTCCGGCGCCGCATCAGCTACGACGACACCCACGACAGCGCGTCGTCCGTGGAGATACGCGTGGAGAGCCCGACGGGCAGCAACGGGACGAACACCATGGAGCTCACGGCCATGCCGGCGGCGGCGCCGCGGGTGGTGAAGAGGGTGAGGTTCCTTGTGGACCCCGGGAGCCCCGACGTGGAGGACAAGCAGATGCTGGAGGAGCTCCACGAGCTGTGCGAGGCGAGGGAGGCCGGCACGGCCTTCATCATGGGCCACTCCCACGTGAAGGCCAAGCCCGGGTCGTCGCTGCTCAGGAGGCTGGCTATCGGGTACGGCTACAACTTCCTGCGCCGGAACTGCCGCGGCCCGGACGTCGTGCTGCGCGTGCCGCCGGCGTCGCTGCTTGAGGTCGGCATGGTCTACGTGCTGTGACTCACAGACACGGGGCTTCTGTTCTGTCTCTAGCTTCCGGACATGCTGCTGTAAATTGTAACGTGACGGCGTGGTGCGTGATGGAAATATTATGTTTTGATTTGATGAAATGCAAAAATCATATGCGGTCGCGGGGTGATAGTGTTAAAAGATCGACCGCCTGATAGCCGTCTGATCTCTCCCATATGAGCTAGCCGGCAACAAGGCTAGTATTGCGCTCGGCCCTCAGCAACAGGAGCCTTGTTGCAATATCCCTGAACCATTTTTTCCTTCTAAAACAAGGCCTCTGTTGCAGTTGCAATCATAAGAAAATCCCATTATTCTGGCCCTTGCATACAAAGGTGCGGTGAGCGCGGCGCCGCCCTCCTGTTACAAAATCGTGTACTATAAAAATTCCAACATACAAAGGATCAAAATAATCTAAGTTGCATCAGGATATGCAATGGTCAATCAAGGACAGAGCAGCAATGTAAAAATTATTGTCAGCTAACTCAAATGTAATTTGACAGACTGGTGCTAAATCATTGTTTGCCGCTACTCACTATTACAATATGACACCTTTAAAGTACAATCAAACCCAATGTTCCAATTGTCTCACTTTACCTCTCACGGTCACTATTGTGAAGCCCACATGGTTTTCAGGGGTAAGTTTTCGATGCAACTGATTTTAATCCATCACACATTCAAATCAAGAGCATCTTAGACTATTTGATGAACCAACAATAAAGCAGCTTTTATGTATCAAATCAAGAGCATCTTAAACCGTTTGATGAAATAACAATAAATAAAGAGCATCTCTATCTTGGATTCAATGGCAATATACGTGTGATGTGAAGTTGGAGTAGAGGCACATACATGTGTGATGTCCAAACAAAGAGCTTGATATTGTCGTCATGTCCAGATGACCAAACAAATGCAGTGCTTGTCTGCTGCAAGCATGATCCAAGATAAACAGCAGCAACACTTATTCATTTATTCTCTCTTTATATGAATAACAGACTCGACATTCTGGCATAGTGGTATTCAGGCATTAAAACCATGATTTGTCCATAGGAGGACTACTAAATGTGATTGGCACCAGCGGAAGCGCTGACAGAATATGATACGAACCTGACATTGAAGACGATCTCCAAATGTTAGTGCTTGTATGGTCAACCAGCAACATATCAAGCATATCTGCAACCAATACAAAATTAACACAAACATGACTAATTCTGCACATTTTTGTCAGTAGCCAGTAGATACTGTCCAGGCTATTGCTAGTGGTTACCGGTTGCATAGGTGCTAAAAATAGGTGCTAAAAACAATTGAGCCTTATAAACCGGAAAGGAGGGAGTACTTATTTTGTTGTCAAATAAATTTCTTCTCATGACCGGGTTCACACAAGAAGCTGTTGTGCAGCTCCGGGTGGCCGTGAAGCAAAACAATAAAATCAGAAAGACAACTCTTATTACCCAGCCGCATGAAAGAATCAAGATAATATTTTCAAAAAAAAGAAGAATCGAGATAAAGCAGGGGACCGCCCATAAATTGTTAGCAAATAGTTCAAAACATAAATAGATTGCAACGATACATGGTCAGAACTGAATTGTTAGTGATTGGAAATAGAACAAGGAACTCAATTGTACACAAGTAGTCCTTAAAGTATCACAAATAGTAGGCATAAGCATGGTTATATAGCAACATTAACATTTGTCCGTTAGAACTGAGTGTGAGATGTCCTATTAACGAAGCAACAGAAGTCTTAGATGTGCTTGCACTACGAGAAAAACACCACCCCACCTTCCTGAAACTGAACGAGAAAAAATAAAGTGAGCATGCATCATGTAACCACAAAGACAAACACGTTTTCAGAGTGGGCATTCACTATTGTTTGGCAGACAATCACCAGCTATTGAGGACCTTGCAAATTAGAAGCAATATGTATACAACAATAGCAGGTGGAAATCATTGGTTGCAAACAAATAAAGGATTCATGGTCCAATGCTAGTGGGGACTCACAATTGCTTTCTTCTTTTTGTGATACTGTCCAGGATGAACAAGCGCTCTGCGAACCGACGTGCCTCTGCTCTTCATCTCTTGATTGATCTGGTCTGCTTAAAACACAAGTGGAAGCTGGCACACAAACGCATCAGTTAGTAGTTTGTGAAATTACAGAACCACACCAGACCAATATCACAAAGGAGGTTCTAAATTTTTTTGCAAGCTTGGGACCATAAGAAGCTCTAGTCATCAAACGTTTAACAATAGAATGCGACGGCAGTTTGATTTCTTCACTCCTAAGCTGGAACTGTAACAATCAAACCAATATGTTCCCCACGTCTGCTCAAACCAGCATCCAGAGATGCATTGGGTGAGCGCTATCATGCAACATTACATTCGTTTTGGATGTAGACATGTGAGGTATGAAGGCTGCTATGGCTGTTGTCTGAATCCAGTGCTACATGCCTACCTCCGCCAGAAATACGGCGCCCTCTCCGGCACCCGCGCTCTTGCGCCGCCGCTGCCACACAATATTGCAAGGTCACCGCCGAGCACGACACACCCGAGGGTGAATCAGCGCCAATGTCAATCCGGAGTTCCACGGGAGTTCACCAAGTTCCAGGCGGTCAGTCCATCGACCAGCCGCCGTTGGGCGCCGTCCCAGTGGGAGGACTGAGAAGGGGAGAGGGGCGCCGTTACCTGATTCCCCGCTACCGCCGAGGATCTGTCGTCCGCCACCGCCGTTCCACAGAGAGAGGATTGATTCGCAGCCTCTCCACGCCGCCACGCCACCTCTGACCAAGGAGAGTCGCCGCTTGTGTGCGGCAAGTTTTTCTTTTCTTCGAGGGCTTCGCTGAAGCCAGAGCAGTTGGGTCAGCCCAGCAAACAGTTTTCTGGAGTAGCATTTTACCGACTTTACTGCAGGGGCGCACTACAGCGAACCATTTTTTTTTCTAAAAAAACATTTTACCCCTAGAAAAAGCTGCACTGTAGCGACCGCTTAAAAGAATGAAGAATGCTGGAGTGACCGCCTCCTCAGTCTCGTCGAGGACATGTCAAGGCGTCTCTGTGCCATCCAATCTGCCCGGTATGATACTCCCTCCTTTCCGGTTTATAGGGCTTATCTCAAAATTTTAGTTTTTCCATTTTATAAGACTCAATTTGGTTGTTTCCCATCACATGTTCAGACTTTAAGGTGCATTAAATCATTGCATGCAAGTATTAAGACGCTTCCTTTTAAGGTTGCAGGCACCCATTATAGGTCATTTTGCGTCTGCGGGAGTTCGAACTTGCGATCAGTTGCAGCGACGCCAACACCGTTACCAATAGGCCATCGAACGACTAGTGCTTCGTAACTTGTTTTTTTATTTTTATTGGTAACTTCAATGGCGGGAATCCTTTTGTTTTGGAAAGCTTTCAGAAGCTTCCCAAGCCGGGTTTTTTTCTAGTTCATAGGTCATTCCGGGGCGGCTTTATTCAGATTGTCTTATTTCTTTTTTCTTTTTTAGTGTGTGTTCTTTTAAAAAAATGATGAACTGTTTTCAAATTTTTGAACTTTTTCATATTTCATGAACTTTTTTGCAAATTCAATGAACTTTTTTTCAAAATTGTGAACTTTTTCTAAAATTGAATGAACTTTTTCTCACAATCGACCAACCTTTTCTAGTTTTGGCCGACCTTTTCATGTTTTTGAACTGTTGTAAAATTTGTGGTTTTTATATTTTTGTGAATTTATTTTTAGATAATTAATACCAGATATATAATATATTATATGTGTAGTACTGGAAGAAGGGTCAAATAGACCTTTTTCTAGATACTGGGCAAGGAAGATAGTTTGTTCTGTTGGTAACGGCGATAGCCTGTTGCTGGTCAGGTCATGACTTTGAATCTCTGTTCTCCCATATATTCACGCCATCCAGCCAGGGGTTGTGACGGGAAGAGCCCATATTGCCAGGGTTGTGTTTGCCGTGCCCGGTGTGCCATGGTGAATCCTACTTGGCGCTTAAGCGCCCGATTGCGAACGGGCGCCTAAGGGCGCATCCAATTGGCCCATCTTGACTTCTGTTTCTGTTTTAAATCCACAAAAAAGCGAGTGTCCAGTGGTCGCAAAGGTCCGTCAGGCCACGAGGGCCATCCGGCCAGGGGTTGTAACGGGAAGAGCCTGGATGGCCAGCGTTGTGTTTGCCGTGCCCGATGCTCCCTGTCATGGCGAATCCTATTTGGCGCTTAAACGCCCGTTTGCGAACGGGTGGGTGAAGGCGCTTCCCGTCAGGCCACGAGGGCCATTCAGCCAGTGGTTGTGACGAAAAGAGCCCGGATGGCCAACGTTGTGTTTGCCGTGCCCGATGCTCCCCGCCATGGCGAATCCTATTTGGCGCTTAAGACCCCCTTTGCGAATGGGCGCATGAAGGCACTTCCAATTGGGCTCGGCCCATCTTGACTTTTGTTTCTGTTTTAAATCCGCAAAAAGGGCGGTGTCCAATGGCCGCAAAGGCCCGTCAGGCCACGAGGGCCATCTAGCCAGGAGTTGTGACGAGAAGAGCCCGGATGGCCAGCGTTTTGTTTGCCGTGCCCGGTGCTCCCCGCCATGGCGAGTCCTATTTGGCGCTTAAGCGCCCATTTGCGACCGGGCGCGTGAAGGCGCTTCCCGTTAGGCCACGAGGGCCATCTAGCCATGGGTTGTGACAGAAAGAGCCCGGATGACCAGCATTGTGTTCGCCATGCCTAGTGCTCCCCGCCATGGCGAATCCTATTTGGCGCTTAAGCGCCCGTTTGTGAACGGGCGCCTGAAGGCACTTCCAATTGGGCTCGGCCCATCTTGACTTTTGTTTCTGTTTAAAATTCGCCAAAAAAGTGTGGCCCATCTCGAAGGCAACTGAACCACTACGCTAGCTACCACGCTTTGAGCAACTTGCGTCTTTCCGTATTTCATTATTACCTTCCTCGGTTTTTTCCCAGTTCACTGTTTAGTTAACACACATTTTTATTCTTTTTCTTTCTTTTTATTCTAAAATGCGTGGATTTCTTTCAAATTCGATGAACTTTTTTTCAAATTCGACGAATATTTTTTCAAAATCCGTGATTATTTTCAAATTCTATGAACTTTTCTCAAACTCGGTAAACATTTTTTACAAACTCGGTGAACTTTATTTCAAAATCGATGAACTTTTTTCAAATTCAACGAACTTTTTTCAAAGTCGATGAACATTTGTCAAATTTGATGAATTTTTCTCACATTCGGTGAACATTTTTTTCAAATTTGATAAACTTATTTTCAAATTCGATGAACTTTTTTTAAAATCCGATGAACGTTTCCCAAATTTGATGGATTTTTTTTCAAAAAAGATTATCAATTTTTGTGAACTTTGTTGAAATTTATGTAATTTTTTCAAAATCAATGAACTTTTTTCAAATGTTGTGAACTTTTCTTCAGAATAGATGATTTTCAAAATGGATGAACTGTTTTAAAATTGATAACCTTTTTTTCATACTCATGAACTTTTTTATATCTCTGAACTTTTTTTTTCAAAATCCTTGGGAATTTTTGTATTCACGAATACATTCCTTTTTTACTTTTTCATAATTTTTAAAATAATTTATACTGCACACACACACACACACATGTTAATGTTGTATACTAGAAGAAGGCTCAAATAGTGCCATTTTCTGATTGTAGTCAACAATGTGACCTTGGTGTAGTGTTTTTTTCTTTTGAGAAACACCTACGATTTTATTCATACTCATAACTATTACAGGTACACTAATTCGGATCTAAAATCCAAGAAAATACAAAGTAACTTATATGACTAAGAATTACAATGAAATCTCTTGGAAACACCTTCGCTGCATCAATCTCTGTTAGAAGGAATACTCCAAAGACTTCGGTAAAAAGGCTGTAATTGAACTGGGGCAACGATGTTGTCACTCTTTCACCCGCACGAATATTACTAATAATGGTTTTTGAAAGCACCTTGAGTCGCCCATTCAAAAAGATGAGAAACCTTGATCGGTGAATGTATTTGGGCCGGGAATGATCCCCTAGTAGTGCAGGACGTAGTGGTTGTTGTGCGTGGTAACACTTTTTCTTCATGTTTGCTTTTGCGCAGGTTACTGGGCCGGCTCAATCCAATCCCTCTGCGACCGCCAGCTGCTCTAAACGGCGCTAACAGCACCAAATAGGAGCTCAAATCCTAAACGGCGCTCGTAGCGCCCGTTACAGTATTAATGGTACACGACGCACACCCCCTCTCCCGATGGGCTAGCCCATGTTCACTTTTTTTCCTTCATAAACTGCTGCAAAAAATAGGCGCTGCGAAGGATTCGATACCGCGCGGCTGGGTTACAGCGCAACACTCGTCAACCACCCAAATCAGTTGAGTTATGTGATCTTCTGCAGCTTCTTCGTTCTTCTATTCTTTATTTTTTCTTTTCCTTTTTATTTCTTCTTTCTTATTTTCCTTTTTATGTTTTCTTTCTTCTGTTTTTTCCAATTCAATATAAAAAGTTCAACAGATTTTATGAACGTTTTTAAAAAATTTATGAACTTTTTTCAAAATTCATGATTTTTTTCGTATTTGATGAACTTTTTTCAAACTTAATGAACTTTTTTTCTAAATTGGTGAACTAATTTTAAATTTGGTGGTCCTTTTTGAAATTCATTGCACTTTTTCTCAAGTTCGATAAACATTTTTTTGAAGTTTGTGAACCTTTTCAAAACCGATGAACTTTTTTGGAAGTAAGTGAACCTTTTTTCGAAATTTTCTGAACTTTTTCTTCAAAATCGATGAACTTTTTTGAATATCGACAAACTTTTTGTCAAAATCAACGAACTTTTTCAAAAAATAGATGAACTTTTTCCTAATTCATAAATTGTTTTGAATACATGAACTTTTTCTAAGTCATGATTGTTTTAATATTTTGTTCGGATTTTTTCCCCAAAAAATAGCGTTTTTTCTGAGATTTATGTGCAAGAAATAGTGCAGCAACGTTTTAATTGTTTCTTAATGTAAACATTCACTAGCGCGTAGTAGCTCTTGTGTTTAGGCGACCTAAACGGCGGTTGCTCAAATCCTCACGGGAGCTCATTTTTTATCGAACAAAACCAACTCGTGTTAGCACGGCAGCGTAGATGGGCCAGCCCACCCAAGCGAGCGCGTGAGCGCCAGTTTCGTTTGGCGCCATGGAGTTCCCGCTCTTGTGCTCCATGGAGTTCCTGATCTTGCCTCAAAAATCTCACGAGTCGGGCTGCTGCGTGAGCTGTTTCATGTTGCACCTCCGACACCACGCACGTTCGCCT